AGCTCCATGTCATCCACATGACTCAGCACGATTATTCCGAATCCTTCTTTGTCTGGCTTCCTTGAGAACAGTGCCGGTAGTCCACTATCACTTGCTAACCCATACTCTTCAAGGTAGCTTTTCAGTTTTCCAAACCAAGCTGCACTGCCGATTCTTTGTCCGGGTAACGTATACCCTAGTTCATAAATTTCTCCATCGACTTCGACAATCGTCGGCTCTTCCTGCTCCACCATTAAATAGGCGTCACCTACATCGATACTGCCGAGTGTGTACCCTTCTGAAGATGCAAACAGGGCTGAAAGTAGCTTCACTGTGCTTGCTACGCCGGTTGGCGAAAACAAACTTGCAATGTCTGTATCACCTAACCACTTGAACTCTCTTGCTACTAATCGTCCTCTTCTTCTCCATTCTTTGTCCCTGTGCATCCAATCGTACACTATCTTTGTCGAAAGAAACTTGTACTTCGAAACATCTGTTCCTTTTGGCAACTTGTTCAGCACTTTCATCTTCTCAAGTCTTTCTAACTCGTGCTTCTTGGACACTCCTTCGACTTTCTCCATTTCTTCATCTGCTAACTTTGGTGGTCCGCTTTCGAAATCGTTCGACCATTTTGGCATGTCTTCTGGTATCTCTTCTTCACCATCTGATTCTTGCCATTCTTCTTCTTCATCGAACTCTGCTTCCATCTCTTCTAATTCTTCCAACTCGACTTCTTCATCATCGTGATATTGCGGAAGTTCTTTCCTCAGGAATGGTTCTATTTTCTTCACGCTTCTCATGTCGATAACTCTCCTTACCGAACTTGATGCTTGTCCCGAGGATTCTTCACCGATGGCCACAAACTTCTCTGGCCGTTCTTCGGCTTCAGTTGGGCCTTCATCCATTTTCTGCCTCACCGCCTCTGGCTGCTCGCCTTTTTCAAGGTTCCTCTTGGGCGATGATGACGGAGGGTTCTCTCCTCGAATCAGCTCTTCAGAGTCATCACTTCTTTCACTTCTTCTTCTCGTGACTCCTTTGCCACGACTGCTTGAGCTGCTGCTTGATGATCCTTGATGTCCTTCACCTGGATCTTCATCCATGTCTTGTTCAGTCTCGCTTGGCGGATCTGATGCTGCCTCTTGGCTTGGACTATAATCCTTCAATTCATCTTCTTGCTCTTGACTTCTTTCTCTTCTTGGAATCAACTCCAACTTGTCACCAGTTGCTATCTCGATTCCACTGTGCGGTGGTAATCGCTTTGTTGGCTTTCTTCCTACCAACATGTCTTGTGTGTAGTTCCACGGTGTACCTGTTGCTTCTGATAGCACTTCCACATCATACAGTGGCGTACACTGTCTTATCGTTCTGCTCTTGATGATTCCTTGTCTTGTGCTTATCAGATTCAGGTTGTTCACCGAGTCCTTTCCAACGAAGATTCCTTTTCTCCATGCTTCTCCCTTTTCTTTGACTTTTGGTACAGGCTTTGCCAATACTACGCTTCCCCATGGTGCTAATGTTCCCTTGTACTCTCTGTCAAACAGTACTTCAAAGGGTGTTGACCCTTTCTTCACAACAAACCTATTCAGTAGGAATGCTGCATGTCTTGCTGCCCATGGATACAACGTACTTTCTGAAGTGATCTTCACCTTGGCTTGTGATTCAACTCCATACACCAGTGTCTTGGATAAGTTCCGAACTTTTTGAACCCATCTCTCAACTTGCAATCCTTGATGTTCATCTGGTGCTACATCTTGTATCTCTGTATCAAGATTCTTCATCTTTCGTATCCCTTGTACCTTCTTTCTCAGGGAAATCATTGCTGGTTCCGTGTCAGTTCTCAGAATGACCTTCGACTTCAACAGCATAACTACTCTGCACACTTCTTCGACAACGTATGCCGTCACTTCCTTCGTCGCTACTGGAATGACATGTACGAACTTTGTTGCTTCATCAACCATCACAAGTCCGATTGTCAATGCGTCCTTGTTGTCTTTTGTGTTCTCTTCATCTCGAGTTCCAGTGAACTTGAAATCCATTGAGACTAACGATGCTTCATTCTTCTTCTCACATACATCGAAATTGTCTTCTCTTGATCTTGTCGCTTGACAGCTTTCACACCAATCTGCTTTTGGTAGGTGCGTCAGTTCATGCTTCTTTCTTTCTTCCTCAGTTGGCATTTCTGGTCTCTTTTCTCCTTTTGGTTCTCTTGTGAATTCTAGTTCTAATCCTTTGGAGATTTCGACCAATTCCTTCATCTTGTTTGCTGAAATAGCTTGCTTCAACCTTTGCCATATCTGAGTCTTGCTTCCCGTCTTTCCTATCTTCAGGAACTCACATGCTGTTCTCATCTCTTTGAGTGAACTTTCTGGGCTTAGTTCAACTCCTGCCACAATCATAGCTTCTTCCATCTTTTCTCCTAAGCTTGGCAGTTGCTCTTCGATTTTCTTCCACTCTTGCATCTCTTCTGGTGCAGGTGGTTCGCTTGGAAACAGATCTTCCATTGCTTCTGCTGCTTCCTTTTCCACTTGCTCCATTGTCTTCTTCTTGTCACTCTTCTCTGCGTGAACCGCCATCTCCACGTCTGCTGCTTCCACTTCTTTCTCTTGCTCTTTCTTCTTCTTCTTTGAAGATGGTCTCTCATAATCACCATACTCTTCAATTCCCAGAGACTTTCTCTCCAAGATCGTGATGATCACCGAGTTCTCTTCGACTGCGTCTATCGCAACCTCTTCTCGGTCTTCCCACTTCTCTGCGCACTCCACAAACTCCAGTTCGCTCCATACGATGCTATCACCATCGTACCTCGATACCAAAGTAGTTCTGAACTTGAATGCTTTCACATCATCATAAGTGGGGTCATATGTCACATACTTGTCATAATCGATCCTTGCTGGCTTCCCATCTGACATGAAAAACCATCCTTCATGATACTTCATCTTCTCAAAATCATCTTCCATCTGCTTGATCAGCGTAAGCTTTCTCACTTGTGGTTCATCACTTTCAACTTTCACTTGTGCTCTGTAGATCTTGAGGTCCGTCACTGTTGAGTTTCTTGCAAACCTCACTGGCACTCTTGCTGAACCTTTCTTCAGGTAAGCATTGAACTGGTCTAGAGGATCAAGTCCCCATCCGACTTTCCACAACTTGCCTACTGCAAATAGTGGTTGTGTTACATCTCCGAACACAGCTGAATCTCTTACCTTTATCACTCTTCCATCTGTTCTTTGGAATTCGAACGTGATGTTCGCTCTTGTTTCAGTGGTCCTTATCCTGTTGCCTTGAGCATCTTGAATGACCATTCTCAAAGCTGGGAACTCAACTGTTCCTAAATCTTCACTGCAATAGCATAGCGGAAGTACATGACAATCCGCTCCACTGTCTAGTACAACTTCAACGAGTTCTGCATAGCTTGAGCTGATAGCTCTTACTCGATGCACTTCTGGTTCTTCATCTTGAACGCTTCTGAAAAGTCTTTCTCGTTCTCTTGCCTGCTTGGCATTCTGCTTGTCCACTTGTAGATCTTCATACCACTTGTGAAGTTCATCCTTCTCATAATCTTCTTCATCACTTTCATCGACCATGCTTGACATGAAGATAACTGCGTTAACTTTCACTGTTCTTGCGGCATAGTCCATCACCATCTCTTCAAACATTCCTACAAGATCGACGTACTCTTCTTCATCGTCGAACACTTCTTCAATCACTGGCATAGGCGTTGTCAACAACCTACGCACTTGCTCATTTCCTTTTGCTCCTCGTGGTGGTCTTGCCTGTGACTGTGTAGAAGAACTTGGTTGCTCTTCATACCATTCTTCCTCGCCTGTCTCTTGGACGTTGCGAACTTTGCCTTTTCCTTTTCCCTTTCCTTTCGGTGGCGACCAGCACTCCGAAGAGTAATGTCCAGTCTTACCACAATTGAAACACACAGGTCCATTTTGTCCACCTTTTCCTTTTCCTTTGTCACTCTCGTAGCCTTTTCCTTCAGCCTGCCTGATGCTCTTTCCTCCTTTCTTTCCATATCCCTTTCCTTTTCCGAAACCTCTTCCTTTTCCTTTTCTCCTCGAAGCGGCGAAGCGTCCGCGGCCCGTAGGCCCTCGACATGCACTTAATTACCATGGGTTTTCCATGGTCTTCCGCCCCGGTAGGAGCGGGCATCGCCCCAAGGCGGAAAAAGGGAGTTAAGTCCTACGGGAGAGTAACCTCGTCCCAGATGTGCTAAGGAGTGCGAACAGTCCTAAGGGAGCGTAACGCGTCCCTGCTCTGCACTACCAGCACGGGCGGTCCGCATGTTAGATCTCTAACACCTGTTAGATCCCATTCGACTGTTAGATCCCTTGGCTGGGGGGTCCAAGAAAGTTTCGATGAAGAAGCTGACGATAACTTGGCAAGATTTGATGTGGTTTTGCCATGCATGACGACGGTCTTGTGGATCAAAGCCGCAATCCAGTGGATATTGTATAGGTGTTGTACAGCTCATGCATGGATGTATAGCAGCAGATCCAAGTTTCTGTGTGTTTCACCACAGCTGTACAGCCACGCATGCATACAGCAGCAGATCAAATTGCTGTATCTATATTTCACAGCGACGAGATTATGAAATTTCACCCGTGGGAACGATATCCGTCGACGATCGAGGATCGTGGACATGTTTCGAGGTGTGAGAAAAACTCCCCAATCCCCTAATATTATATATTGGAGATATCAGATAGATAGATAGATATATCATATGATATGAACAGATCAGATGCTGATCACGATGGCCGGGGGCAATTGCCTGCAGTGTGTGCACGTGTGATTGAGCAGTCCAGCTTGTGTGCATTCAATTTGCGGTTGTGTGCGGATGTACCGAATGGTCGATCGCCTCAGGGTTTTTGTTCGAGCATGGTGTTGCATGCTCACGCATGGACACATGTCGACGGCATCAGGGTCCATAAATACCGACTGCTTTGTACATCGAGCTAGGAAGCGGCATGATCAGGCCCATCGAACAATAATACAGCAGCTGCCTTGCCTCATAAGCCATGCCCGCCTCGAAAGTGAACCATGATCGATCGAAGAAAGTCGAGACTTTGGCAAACCTGTTCTACTCCAACCTGTGCAAGCCGGAGCACCTCGAACAGATCAAAGAGACAGGGGCATTGACTCCGACGTATTCCATGAGACATCGGTGCACTAGAGAGAGAGTGATGTGGGCAACTTCCCTAGACGGCCGCTGGTTCACGAATGGGCTCGTGAAAAGTGCACTACAGCATTTGCTGAAAACCCATGCAGATGTTGTCATTCCTGCTGACACACCAGGGTTTTGCATGGACCACTGGTTTACTACATCGGCAGAGAAGCTGGCACAGCTACTGAAGCGTGCACGTCGCAGCACTGCTTCGTCCCCGGCCGGAGCCATGGACAACCTCGAAACCCAAGCCTGGGATATGGATGAAGCCCTCGACCCAGCGGAGGACTTGAATAAAAGGGTATTAGTTCGAGAGATTCGCAAGTTCTCCTGCCTACAAATATTTTGATTTTGATTTGATGTATATGTGTGCTGGGCAGGATGCACAAGTGCCAATGGTGACGAAGAGGTCCTCCGGTGAGCTGAGTGTTCCTTTCCTGCAATAAAACTCATGAGTTCTGATTTCGCATGCATGCGTGGTCGAGTCGTGCGTGTAAGGCTGCAGATATCCAGCCATCCAAGCGCTTGCGCTTGCGAGAAAAGACGTAGCTGGGCATTGGAGTCATCATGCAGCCGCATATATATAGTAGAACCCCAACATAGCTTCAGTCTTTCAAGTAATGTATATATGGAACCCCAGCACGATTGGGATCTAACCCGGTTTCCGACTTAAGTATACGGGGCGGTTTATTTACTGTAGTTAGCTTTAATTGTTCTATTTCGGCGAGTGACTCGGTCCGAGGCCAAGCTACATCTGCATCCCCAATGTTGAGGAGGCTGCTGCTCAGCTCAATCATTTGTCCCATGGGGATCAGCAAGGGTTTTGAGAACTTTTGTATATTCAGGTGGAGAATGGGGCCCACGATCATGATGGCTTCGATGCTGATGAAAGCGGGGACCTTCCTGCTGGTGCCCCTGAGGTTGCTTATTAAAATCTATCGTGTGAGTGCCACCCGACATACTCCGAAGCCCTTATAGAGAGCTGGGAAATGGTTCTGCAAGCATCCAAGGAGGGGGATGATCGGGCAACTGCGCCCTGTCTATGCTGGTGTGCTGCGATGCAGCATGTGCATATGTTCGTGTGGTTTGAGATTTGCGTGTGCGTTTGAGATTGATCGGTTTCCGGTAGCTTTGTTCGCCTATAAGGCGAACGAGGAACATGGTGAGGCTGTGCCGGATGCACAATACTATGCCGAGGACCAGTTTTTGTTTCTCCGTATCTTATATAAAGCCATTTTGATTTGCTTGTTGTGGAGTTGCCCTTAAGTCCAAACCTCATATTGAATTCCCCTAGGATGGCCGAGATGTTGATTGGGAAGCCATCCACCAGGGCCATGTGGAACATTGTGAACGGATGGGTGTAGATCCCGAGCCAGAAAGTTCGATATCACGGGTTGGCAGTCGTTGTGGTCCAGGGCAGTGGCTAGATGCAGATGGCATCTGGCACACGTCCCCATGCGAATGGGACGATGATTGTCACGATGATGATCATGACGAGGGCTGGAACGAAGATGAGGGTCAAGATGAAGAGTATGATGATGATTGGGAAGAAGATGCAGTCGGCGCCCAAGCCGATGAGGAGCAGGTCGAGGAGCACGCCGAGTGGCTTGAAGCGGCGGATGAAGCCGCAATGGAGGGCACTCATGATGAGCATGCTGAGTGGCTTCAAGGGACTGAGGCCAATGAGAAGGCCATGGAATGGCCTCAAGCGACGACTGAGGTCACTGATGAGAAGGCCACGCCGGAGTGGCCTGAGGCGTCTACTGAGACGTGGCCTGAAGCGACGGCTGAGGCCGTCTATGATGAGCAAATCGAATGCCTGAAGCGACGACTGAAGCCGCCGATGATGCACAAGCCGAGTGGGCTGAAGAGACGACTGAGGCCGCCGATGATGTGCAGGCCGAGTGGGCTGAAGCGACGACTGAGGCCGCCGATGATGTGCAAGCCGAGTGGCCTGAGGCGACGACTGAGGCCGTCGATGATGTGCAAGCCAAGTGGCCTGAAGGGACGACTGAGGCCGCCGATGATGTGCAAGCCGAGTGGGCTGAAGCGGCGACCGAGGCCGTTGATGAGCAGGCCACTGAGTGGCCTGAAGAGCATGCCAACTGGCCCGGGGAGGGCTCTGTGGGGCCCACTGTGGGGCCTGAAATGACGACGGAGGCTGGCATGGATGAGCCCTCTGAGTGGTGGGATTCTGTGGCCGCTGATGCACAGTGGCCTGAAGCGACTGGGGCTGTTGATGATAAGGCCACTGAGTGGCCCGAGCCGGCGATTGAGACCGTTGAGTGGCCCGAACCTACAAGGGCTGCTGATGAGCAGGCCGATTGGCCTGAAGCAGCGGATGGGGCCCACGATGCGGGCAGTGATATGTGGCCGACGTGGCCAAAGGTCCCGATCATGAATGTGACCCAGGACTACCCGAGCCAAGCCGACAAGGATAGACTCGACATCTTCTGGTCCAAATACAAGATTAAGAAGGAGCTATTACAATCAGACATTTACATGTCATATAGCTAGCCGACTTGTCAATTCAGCCCCATGCGCCCACCGCCTTAGTTTTGGACTGGTTCGCAGGAGTCTGGCGCCGTGGAAGACAAAACCACCGATGATGTGTTTCCGAAGAACCTCCAGGACACCCGATGAGCTAATTAATAACAGAATCAACATGTTGATTGTGTTGTTTCAGATTAAACTATAAGATTGTATGTGTTTCGAGGTGTTGGGATGTCCTTTCGGCTTTTTCATATAGATACATACGCAACTAAAGGGCACATGCTTGGACACAATATCTCGAGTACACGCTTTTGTTCTTAGTGTATACATATATATATATATATATATATATATATATATGTGTGTGTGTACGTGGTATGTATATGTATGTATTTAATTATCTGTGTTATTGTATATGTACAGGTAGATGTGCACATGCATATATGTGTATACAGACATACATATACCTGCATAGATACATGCATGCATGCATACAAACATACATACATACAGACATACATACGCTGTAATTGTACATATAAGCAAGACGAAGGACATAAATGCAGACATACTCAATCAAATGATTTCCTGAAATGAGCCAGCACGCAAGTGTATGGCTCAAATGGTTTAAACAGGAAACCATAAATCATACATGTACATATATACACACACATATAAATACACATCTGCATATATACACACACTCTGTTTTGTACATAAAATTAGATAGACTCTTCTTGTCCTTTGCCTCTCTCTCCCCCTGTACATATATATATATATATACATATATATATGTAAATGTATGTATATATATACATATATATATATATGTAAATGTATGTATATATATATATATATATGTATACACCTATATATACATAACTATAGAAATATGTATATATATATATATATATAAATATGTATATATATATGTGTTAGTTTAGTTGATATGTATCTACATAAAATCTTGCGGTACTCGATCTGGCAGGACATGGCTTGGCAACTTAGCCGTGCGGCTACGGATGAGGAGCGACTTCAGCTGTGTAACAAGCTTGTCGACTCTCGGATGCTTTAAATTTAAGATCAGCTGCATTCATTGGTAGGAAACAGAATAAGATGTGTATGCAGAATTTGCTGAGGCAGCAACACACAAATCGAATGTCTCGCCCAGCCCGGCGGAGTGGAGCTGCTGCAATCAATCCCGATATGTTAAAGAATTCGACCTGTGTATAGAGAAACCCTGCCCAGGTGCCCGAAGATTGATGCCGCCACGGTTGCGAAGGAGGCTCCAACAATCGGGCTGAGAGTGTGCGCGACTTTGTGTGTATGTTGTGCACGCAGCTCATCATTGCAGGCTATTATAATAACATGCTACTCAAATTGCCCTAATTAAGCTACAGCCTCGGGATGATTCTTATTTCTGAATGAGATGACGCCTCCCTTCCTGTATCGAGCAATGGCCTATATCGTATACCTGTACCCTGCACGCAGGATCTATGCTTCGAAATGAGCTTAACTCGATCATGGCCCAGCATCGGAACCCAAGCTTGCACTGCGCAGGCTGCGAAGCCACCAGCAGCGCTAGCCGACCGCAAACGCGAATGCCGAGGTCCTGCCGTGGCTTTGGCTGAACTAATTACTCGTGTGGCCACTGCATTACACATGTATATATATAGGGCTATCGCTATACTACATGATTGCAGCTTTCAATCTAGCTCAGGAGTTCGAGCTCCCTGTGACTACAATTCCAGGTGTACCAGAAAATGTTGTCCAGGCAGCATTAGGTGGCACACACTGTGTTGTCGTTCCCCAGAGGCAACGGCTTCTGGTTGCAGCAAACAAAGCAACTGAGGCTTCGAAAGAAGCTGCAGCAACAGCCAACCCAAACGCAGGCACCAAAGCCAAGCCAAAGGCAAAGTCGAAGGCTGTTGCAAAGCCTAAGGCGGGTGCAAAAACGAAGCCAGCAAGTGCCGCAGAAACCAAAGTGAAAAGGGCGCCGTATGCAGACACGGAATACAACATCCAGCGAAAGGCGTTCTTTGCCACGCTCCTCATCTGAATCTAGTTCTGGAACTCCTAATTACTAGATTATGTGATTTCTGCATGTCAGCCCAGGCTTCCGCCGATGTCGTTTGCAGAGCGACAGCACAGGCAGGGAATCCAAGACCATGCATTCAATACCGTAGGTTTCGATAGCTCCGATGTAGGTGTTGGTTCGGTCGATCGCTAGGTTCTCATGGGCTTCAAGGCTTCAAGGTTTGGGGTTTAGTATTTGGTCTTTTGCTTGAGAGTTGGTCGATGGGTCCTACTGAATTCGATCGTCCACTAGGGTTTTGTCTGGATGCTTTGACTAGACAATTCGGGACACTGGTCTTGAGCTTCATGTTGCGAGTACGAAAAATTCCTAAGTCGTAATAAAATGTTAATAAGCAAGAGCAACATACCAATAACAATAAGCGATTAATACTGGGGCCCCATGTACTCCACTGCTATATAGGGGTATGGCTTCAGTTGGGATTAGTGTTCCAGTGTTTCACATAATGATTCGGGGTCAGAGATTGGCTTATGGGACTTCACTCCGGCACGTGTTTGCAAGAAGGTTTGGGCTGAGGATTGCCAGCTGGGTCTCAAAACTTATTACATGTCCTGTAGTGTCCATAGGTCTCGATTGCATTGCACCAATAACCTGTTAAGACCGCTATATAAACAAGCAAACTGATTCCTGTATATGTTTGGAACACTATACCAAGTATGTGCTGTCCTCCGCCACGATGTAACCAATCACATCCGCATCGGCATTCCTTCCAATTATCGGGGTGATAGAAACAGAGATAGCGAGGCGGAAGAGAACGAGTGTGAGAGATCAAGAGTTTTGTGTCTATATATAGAGTGCGCGAGGAATGTGTACTGCAGTATAATAGGGTTATTGTATAAACGAAGAGATTTTGGCATGAGAAGCAACGCCGGCAAGGATTCAGGGGCTATAGTCCGCTTCTGTCATTCAGAATTTGAAAGAATTACCTACGGGGGAGGAAAGATGAAGCGAGCGGGCGGGAGGGTGAGAGAGCGAATGAGTAAAAAGAAACAGTATGGTACGCCCTGGCGGCGTGTACTTTCGTGTGTTCATGTTTCACCTGCGTTCGCAGATGGCAAGCTTAGCAAGCTTTTCACTTCCAACCACATTGTTTTAGATGCATACAAATACGACGTGTTGTGATTTGTTACTTTGAGTTTCCACGAAACCATTGACATGACCTGACCGAATACTTGTCCGAGAGATAAAGTACAGGACAATCGTTCAAAAGAGATCCCGAAGGTGGAGGGCATGAGGGCACGGCCTTAAGGTGTGGCTGTGGGCATGGAGGCCTGGAGGCCTCGGGGGGGGGGGGGGGGGCGCCAAAAAAAAAAAAAAATGGTGGGCTGCTCTCTGGTAATTTTTTGTTTTTGCGCCCCCCCCCCCCCCGCAGGCAGGACCTTATGGACGGAGATCCGGAGGTAAGCAGGGTATGTCTGGGGCCTTCGGCCTTTGGCATTCCAGTTCCCGCACTACGCGATCATCTCAAGCTTTCCAGTGTGCCACCAATCCTGTCCTATCAAATGAAACATCCCTCCATGAACAACTGGGAAAGCGGCTCCCACACCTGAAAACGGTGACATTACTTACGGATGACACTTATACATGACAAAAGTATGATGGGTAATACATTCTACACGTTAAAAAATGGGACTGACGTCCTTGTACCGCGACTCATGGTGACCTGGTCTCGACACTCCCAATTATGATGGTCCAAACCGTCTAAGAAGATGATGGGTGGCGAACCCACAACCCGACAATGAGAGTCGTGATTGGCTTCCAACATTCCAAAACATCGTGCAAAATGTTGGGCCCTCATCCGCAAGCTCGGACAATGAAAGATAAGTTGCGAGCCACAACATACTTGTGACATTTGGGGTGGAACGTAGATACTTACCTACAAGCCAACCTTGGTAGACAGATGTTAGTTTATACCTACATATATATATATGTGTATATACATGTTGATATATGTGTGTAGATTGGATATATACATGCAGACATACATACACACCTACATATGGATGTATATGTCAACATACACACATGCTCATGCCTTTCCAAAGCTTATAAACACATACATATATGTATCCTATATATACATACATGGGTACATACATATATATGTATCACGGAAACATGTGCATTGTTTCCGGAATACACATGCAAACATATGTATATGCAACGTGCAGGCATTTAGGCAGCTACGGGCTCAAACAAGAAAATGGACGGCCTCAGGCTCCTATCCCAAATCCCGCAGCGGCATGGTGGGTGAAGGATGGCGAATATCAAGTCTGTGCGTAAGCACGGCCTCCATACCTGTACATATGTACAGCTACACACACAAATATACGTTTAGACAGAAACACACGATGCACTGTGGAAGCTCATGCATACCTGTACCATACGTATGCAAGTTCGTGCACTTTGGAAGCCCATGCATACATTCACACAGATATATATGTATAAGTACATGTCTTTATATATATATGTATGTCGAGGAATATTATGTGATGTACATGCCAGTACCTGTGTATGTAACCGGGGAGCCTAATGCAGTTACACTTTCAATCTAAACTGGAACCTTGGAAGGGTATCATGGGCGGATGAGTTTACATACATACATTCATACATACATACACACACGACTTTCCGTGTATCACGGAGATAGGTAATTTAATCGTACTTGGGTGAATGATCGCGAACAAGAGGTCTCAAATAGAACGACTGAAAAACATGCCCAATTACACCGTAAGCCAATCCCTAAAAGGTATGGCTCCCTGCCAGAACTGCAAATCACAATAGGGACACCGGAAAAAAGAAGGCCAGAGTCTGAAAACTTTGGCACACATCACGGGCGACATTTATCCAATAAAGATATACGGTGACTAGCAAACCCAAGTACCCAAAAGGATGATGTGTGTCCAGAGCATCCAAACTCTACTGGAAGATATTTGGCCGAAACCGAGGCCACACAAGGATGTGATGGGCCAATGCCCCTGAGGAGTTCCAGGAGTGGCGGAACCACAACTGGATCCTCAAATCGGTCACTGTTTTCCCAAATACACGCAGCTTAGGAGATGTTGCACTTTCAATCGAATGCTTCAGTGAACTGAAGAAATGACGGGTGGCAAACCCAAAAACTCTTTCAAAGGTGAAAAGCCCCTTAAAGCTTGACACCTGTAGGAATATAGATATCCCGTTCCCCACGACTTCAGATGCGGTATGCTGCAGCCTATGCCACAATTTCATTCCCCAGTGCAAGACATGATATATACAAGAAGTTGCAAATCAACATTAGTATGCACATACAAATATGGGCCTGTAATGGGTCCTACTCTCTTTAGATATATGTATGTATCGTATGATTTTACATGCTCGTACAGAATTAGAATCAGAAAATGTGGATGTATGGTTGCATCCATGCAGGAGCACACATGTACTCCTACGCGACATGTCAGTCTGCATAATTATACACATTGACATACTGACATAGTGACATACCTATATTCATACACACATATGTATGGGCTAGGTTTGCATGTGGATAATATCAGCAACAAATGTTCTTATAACCGTTTATCCTGATCTTGATATGCGTGTTAGGGGCGAATGGTAGAGATGAAGAATTGCGTGCATGTCCTTTTCGGTCCTGAGTTTAGTGGAGCGAGACAGCTTTCGCAGCAGTAAAACCATCTATTAAAACTCGAGAAAAAACACGAGATTCCTCGAAAATGCACGCCGCCACGGCGTACCAGTCTCAAAAGAAAGACGACGCTAGATTTATCGGGATCGCTGTTGATTCCAACCGGCCAGAACACCAAAAACGTGAGAGCAAGAATGCATTGGCGAGCGATTGCATGCGACGCGATGCCACAATTCTGTCATTAACGATTCTTATGATCTGGCTGGCACCGAACACCGTCTTGCATGGGCAGTGCGACGAACCGTTGACGCTTGAGAGCATTTCTCCATTGGGCGGTCCAGCGATCTGCAGATTTAGGATGGATGCGATCGCGGGTGGACGACTGCTTGCATGTGCATGGATCATATGTGTCACATGCGGCAATCGTTATTCCTGCACTTTTCATATGTAGGGGTACCGGTGTTTGGTTCCTAGTATGTTGGTCGTGTATAATCAATTGGAGGGATATTTAGCTCATTACTTGCCGTATAGAGTCACTAGTACCGCGGCGAGTATATACTGGTTGCTGTTAACAGTCGATCCCTCATGGAGCCGATTGCCGAAACCCTACATATTATCATATATTTGTCCCTCCTCTTCAAACACAGCAGTTTGAAGCCTTAACCTTGAAAGCGGGGCATGGGTGCGCCAGATAAGTTCTAGTGGCATGTTCTGTTCATGGGTGATCTAGTTAGGAGTTTCTCATATGTCCGTCGTGAACCAGAGGGAAGCTAGACACAATTCCAACAATTAATGGTTGCACTTCTAAAGGGAAACTTTGGCGCGCGAATCCGTGATCATGGCGAACATATCCTCGGGATCTCATGCATGGCGAAACTTTACATGCATAGTTATTGCAGGCTTTAGGCTAGTTTCTTTGTGGTTATACGGGGCTTATTGGGGGTTGTCGGTTACCGAAGAATCGACAAGCAAAACAATTTCGCCTGCCTTCAGGTGGAACTACAGTGACGAGCGCAAGGACGTGCTCGCCAATATGGACCTGCAAGAACAAAGACGTCGCCGCTACGCAATTGTTTGAAGTAGCTTTTGGCACTTTCAGGAAAGCGGTGTGTGATCTGCTGCATCTCAGCGGGGTTTGCGTCATAAGGCCTATGGTCGGTCTCTCTACACCAGTCAAGACTTACGCATGTGTAGATCTCTGGAAGTGTGCAGCCTTATGTGACGCAGGGTGTTGATGGCAGTGTGCGTGCACAGCTTTTCGCTTGCTGTTCAAAGGACAGCGAATACTAATTGCTGTGGGGATCGCGATCTTCAGCGACAGGTCTTCGAAATACTTGTGTATGCATGCCTTTGCATATCTTGGCACTACATGATCGATGCTTGTCGTGGGCCTGTGGTCTTCTGTGGTGTGCATTCTCAGCTGCATATTCGATCCTAGGCTTATACATATACTCTTACATGTCGCTCATGAGCAAAACTGCCCATATGAGTTTGTTAACGCACTGGATATGGCTCCTAATATTAAGGAATTAAGGTTCTTATAGAACACGGGGTACTCACGACATACTCTAGATTCTTAGATCTCCGACCATGAAGTTTTGTCGATTGCTCCTGGCCTTGGCGACGTTGAGGATCAGCAGCTCGGTCATCGTTAATCCTCAGAGGAGTGTTCAATTCTTACAAGTGCTCGGCTCGGAGTATGGGGTTTTGGATCGAGCGCTTAGGCTTTGGCCCCAAACCATGCGATCTCGATTTTGTTGAAGTTTTCGCAGGACTGATGTTGCTGAGTGCATCGTCTAACAAACTTGTAGACTCCAAACAGACTTGACGAGGAGCTCACTTGCTGTATTCTGCTGCTGTACACTACGGCTTGAGGGCACATGCTGTGGACGCACCTCGGTTGTTTCAATTACAGTTAACCTAAGGTTACCCTATAAGCAGATCTATAGGTTTGGTGTCCCTATCCCCAGGTGGCGTATTCCTCCAAAATGGATATTCTAACGGCATTTGGCTTCTTGGTGTTCTTGACCTCCGCACCTCGGCTTGATGATGTCACCTTATCGTGAGCAGCATCAGCCATGCATCTGTTTTACTTAGTGATGCCCTTGAAACATAAAATATAACCCCAAACATAGTTAAATCATAATTGTATATAGGCTCTGCCCCATAAACCCGAACTCCTAGCTCAACAACCCCAAATCCCCACTTCCCTTGCCGGCGGCCCGGGCCGAATACTAAGTATCCCTGATTTTGGGGTATTGACTCTAGAGGTCAAACAAACTTAGGCCAGAAGGCTTCGTCCCCAAGGAGTCGCATGGTATGCTGTGCCTTGTAGCAGTTGGATATTCATGAGCTTTGGCTGCAAGAGTTGCCAAGACTTCATCAGAGTTCATCAGAGCTATAGTACGTCTGTGTTTTATTTCAGTCCAGTACAACACCTAGGAGTCGCGGGTCTTCGAAGCGGCGACGATTGAATGTCAAAGGCCTCCTACTAGACTTGAAATGATGGAAAAGCTATTTGGTTCATCGTATATCTGACTACAATGCTAAGGTGATCGGAAACTCGACAAGGTGAGCCGGGCGAATCGCCTGGCGAGACGAGTCGCATACTTGTCGCCAAACTGAATGTGGGTATACCTCGGATCCAGGGCTCTGCCTACTGGGCCTACTCGCAAATGCACTCAGGATGGAATATCACTTCCGTTCTGGCTCCTACTACATTCTCGAGAACCCGACTGGCTCCGTGTTGTTTGAGATGCCGTGTATTCGAGTGCGCCGACTTGAAGATAGAATAAGGTATTGGTTTCAGCTCATGCAATGCAATGTCGCTGCTAAGTACTGAGGCCCGACTTCGAGCACACAAAGCCAAGGGTGTGAACCTATGTTTAGGTGCCGTGGGGGCGCCATCAAAGAAGTGTGTTGCTTGCATGATATATGACTCCAAGATAGTGACCTATATTGCAGCGGAAGCCAACAACATGCCAGCAGTCTAATTCTTCCAAGCCGTTCTAAAGAAACCCATGGCTGCTTGGAAAGGCCCAACCTATTCTCGCCCAGGTTACACTATGCGGGACCGCACCGTTCCTGCCGAAGCTGTATGAACGTCTGTCCGGATCAAGGAGGAGCGAAGCTAACCTACGTCATGTACAAGCCAACTTGTTCGAAGTTTACCTGAATGGCAGGCTAAGTCAACCAATTGAAGCTGCGAGTTAACTTTGACCGCTACAAAAATAGGAGCTTGCAAGCCATGCTACCTCACCTATAGTTAATATCTAAGCGACCTCTCTATTATGGTTGTTAGACTAACTTCCCGTCGAAATCACCCACTCAAAGAGTAGCTATGGAATACATTCCGGGCACGATTTCGCTCACGCTTTGGAGCCACCCTGCCCCTGTCACGTCAGTACGAATCTAGGTGACATTTGACCCAGTTAACTCAGTGACCCGAGCGATGGACTAAAGTGTAAACTAATTGTGAAGTAACCTTGCCTATGCTAAACTAGACTAGACCAGCCAGCTCACCAAACATCTTATCACAACTAGCCAACTACATGGTGCTATCGATGCTATCAGTGACATCTAATATGGGGTGCTGTTTGAGAACAAGAGAGAGAGAGGGAGAGAGAGAGAGAGAGAGAGAGAGAGAGAGAGAGAGAGAGAGAGAGAGAGAGAGAGAGAGAGAGAGAGAGAGAGTGAGAGAGACAGAGAGAGAGAGAGAGAGGAGGAGGAGGAAATTAGGTTCAATAGGGGCACGGCACTAGGACCCCTTTCAGGACATGATTTAACAGGTGCTTCCTAGTCACTAGGAAGCACCTATTAAACCATGTCCTGAAATGTAGAGTGCATGTGGTCTACATGTGTAAAATGGATATGAATTTCACATCACTAGATCTCTCTCTGAATCCTGGGGTATTGTCAAAATCATACTTGGACTGGGCATTGACTATAATTATAGTAGGGTCTTATGCAGGAACCAGCTGAGACGCATCCAGTCCTTCGTCAAGATGGATATCAGCAGAGGCTACTTTGATCCAGCCGGCCGCCATCGTCGAGTGGCGGCCGGCTGGATCAACGTAGCCTCTGCTGATATCCATCTTGACGAAGGACTGGATGCGTCTCAGCTGGTTCCTGCATAAGACCCTACTATAATTATAGTCAATGCCCAGTCCAAGTATGATTTTGACAATACCCCAGGATTCAGAGAGAGATCTAGTGATGTGAAATTCATATCCATGTAGCGACACTCATTGAGACTTATACACGTCTGATCGGGCTTAAGGTCGGTGGAAAAGATCTTACAGCTACTGGTATCTACCCAGGCACATTCTCAATGAAAGCGGCTTTTCTGAAACCACGTACATCTGGTCCATTGGTCTATAGGCATCGACTCGGTTCCTGCTTAAAGCTGGGTGCTCAGGTTGCGGACCTAATGGACAAGCACTTCAAGACGATGAAACCAAAACCTGTTGTCGACGAGCTCGAGATGGAGCTCTTTGATGACTCGTGCGATGAAAGCTCTGATTCGGGCCTGGAGAACTTGGTCGGCAATAGCTCCCAGTGATCGATGTGTCAAGATTAAGCTGATGAGCGGCTTGAGTTTTGGGGTCGGCTGCTAGTTTTGAACGGCCACGAGCAGTTGCGTCGTGCTGGGGTCCTAAAATGAACGGCTGTCTAGTGTGATGCCTGGTAATCTAATCCGAAGTACTAGGGACCACTAGCGTGTATACCCGTGTATTTGCGTGTATTCGAGGGTTTAAACCCCCGACTAGCGTGTATCAGCGTGTATCGGTTGTTCAGCACCTATAGCACTTCACGCGTGCCCCGAAGCAACACACGGATCAGCTTAGATCGTGTATTAGCCCCTCGGCGCCGGATCGATCCGCAATGGGTGGGAAGGGTAAGAAGGGGGCCAAGGGAGCCACCAGTGCCCCAGCGAGCACACACGACGAAGCCGTGTGTGTGTCGGTGGCAACACAGCCACGGCACTATGAGTATGTTGCCAAGATCCCTGCCGATGCATTAACAGCCGGTGCTGGCTGGACCAAAGGCGACGGCAAAGCTGCAATTGGTGTTGATGGTTGCAAGGGCAAATCCAAGGGAAAGGTTGCAGCTAGCAAAGGATCTGGTAAGCTAGCGAGTGGCGGCACAGCTGCTGCCACGGGAGCTGCCGCGATCAAAGGCGATGGCAAAGCTGCTAAGGGCAGCAGTGGTGGTGCCGCAAAGGGCAGCGGTAAGGATACACAGGGCAATGGTGGTGGTGAGGATACAAAGGGCAGCCGTAAGGGTGCAAAGGGCAACAGCGGTGGCAAGGATGCAAAGGGCGTTCTTGGTGGTAAGGATGCAAAGGGCAGCGGCAAGGGCGCCGGTGCTAAGGATGCAAAGGGCATCACTGGTGCTGAGGATGCACAGGGCAGCGGTGAGGATGCAAAGGGCAACCACGGTGGCAAGGCTGCAAAGGGCAGTGCTGGTGGTAAGGATGCAAAGGGCAGCGGTAAGGATGCAAAGGGCAAGAGTGGTGGCAAGGCTGCCAAGGGCGTCGCTGGTGGTAAGGATGCAAAGGACAGTGGTAATGATGCAAAGGGCGCTGGCGGTGGTAAGAATGCAAAGGGCAGCGGTGGTAAGGATGCAAAGGGCCACAGTGCAAAGGGCAGTGGTAAGGATGCAAAAGGCCACAGCACAAAGGGCAGTGGTAAGGATGCAAAGGGCACTGGCGGTGGTAAGGATGCAAAGGGCTGCGGTGGTAAGGATGCAAAGGGCCACAGTGGTGGTAAGGATGCAAAGGGCAGCGGCGGTGGTAAGGGCAGCAGCGGAGGTAAGGATGCATCAAAGGACCCTGATCCGTGCACACCCCCACCAAAGTCTCCAGCAGCCAGCCTGAGCACAGGTACTCCCCGAGCCAGCCATCCTCCACCAGGTCACCCGATGTGGAGAAGCCAACAGGCAAAGGATCCAAGGGAGTACAGGAGATCGCCCCCATCACCAAGGGCAACCACTCGAAGGGTAAGGGTAAGAGCCCAGCCGCTGCCACGTCCGAGCAGCCGAGTGGCAAAGGCAAACGCAAGCCTACTGGGGAGCCTGAAGGTCACCAGGTGTGTCGCCGGGTGTCCTTCGGACCAGGCCATCTGGGGTATCGGTGTGCACATGTATGTCTCTCGCTCGCTCTCTCTCTCTCTCTCTCTCTCTCTCTCTCTCTCTCTCTCTCTCTCTCTCTCTCTCTCTCTCTCTCTCTCTCTCTCTCTCTCTCTCTCTCTAAAATTCTCTTTCTCTCTCCCTCTCTCTGTGTTCTTGCGTGTTGTTGCATGTGTTTAACTGTACACTGAAAACCCCAAACCCTTGAACCCCAAAGCCTATTTGTATTTACTATTTGTCCCACACCAAAGAAATCCTGGGCCCTCCTGCAATTAACATTAACAACCATTAATCATACAACTACCCACTCGCAGCCTCCGACGTGGGATCCACTGCGATGGCGAGCCCAGCACCTGCTTCGAAGCTGCTAGACACATGTACTGTGGGCCACTGTTGTACATGTGCAATGCAAGTTGTGTTTTTTAGAACCCTCCGTGTTTGTGTATGCCAACCTTAAGCAAGCCCAGGTCAGGGAAACCCATTCTCCGTTCGGATACTGGCATCTCGACTATGAGTGACGGCACCGGCCCTGTGGAAATGGAACCCTTGAGTATCCCCGAGTCTGACGGTGTGGCTCAGCGGCAATGTGTGTGCAAATTTGTCAATTAGCATGATTATCGGTGCTGTGCCGTGCATATGAGGTCCGACCCTTGACTGATGAAGAAAGAGCACAGATCGAGGTGCCCTTCTATATCGATTACAACCACTGGACCATCAAGTTACATAATGCCCAAATATACCATCCCACTATATAACCTCTCCTGTATGCCCAGGCTTTGCAAAAGCCCAGTGACATCCCGCTGCAGCAGCGCAAGGCCCTTAATGAGAAGTTGAGGCGCAGGATGACGAATGGTGCAGGCCGGTTGTCCCTAAACCCAAAAATTTAGTTGAAATCCGGAAACCATAAACCCTATACACATCGTTAACTCGAGGGTTCAGTTATGGTGTAATATGGTGTAGATTCTGGATCAATGATTCCCTGTGATCTGCAGGGCTTCGCAAAGGGCTAGTGGCTCAATGGGCAGCGACACCCTCCAATTCTATGGCACGGTGGCTTCCCTGCATTATATCACGAAATCATTGAAGCCTTAATCACAGGAACCAGCCCCTAAATAACCAACCGGGTACCCAACAACCAATGACTAAGGTTCGCCTTTCTGAAGGCATTCTTGCTGGACAGGGATCACTTGGCCACCATCGAGGTGCAGCCATATTACGAGGAGTGCCTGGGCTCATTTATATTGCCACACCCATTTCAGATTTGCTAGCTAGGTTCGGCATAGACTCGAAGTGTGCATCGATTAAGGCTCTCCGAAAACAAAGAAAAGGAGACCTTCGAGGAACTCCCACTGGTTATGATCAAGCAGAAGTACGAGGGGTTAACAGGAGGGCCCCAGCTGATCGCCGACATTCTCGCGAGTTTCTGTCTCAGTTCTGAAGTTGTACTTTTTGGAATATTGGTAGGCTTCCTGCTTCAACTGCTGTAAGGTCAGCAGGGGAAGAAACACCCACAAAGCGACCTCCCCGATTGGCGAATTTTCAAGGTCTTCAAGAACATTCTGACAAGCAGTGCCTTGTCAAGATCAAAACCACCAGGTGTGTGTTTGCATACTGCTTTGTGTCCGTTGCAATCATATACCCAAGGTGCCAACGTGAGCAGAGTTGGCAGCAAAACGACAGCGACAAAGGAAGTATCTGGCAATAAGGCGGAGCGCACCGCCGTTGCGGAAGTGCTGGAGGGAAAGGCTTCTGAAATGGGAAAGATGATGACGCAGTCGGCAAACTCTTCTAAAGGCAACGGCAAAAACCGCAATGGAAAGGGACAAAAGGGAAAAAAGGACCATCGGGGGATTAGCTTACACGTCTTTCCACAGAGGTTTAATGTATGTACGGGGATTTAGCCTACCATGTTACCAGGAACTCACTGCGGAGGAGGTGGAAGCCAAGGGCTTCCAGAAGGACTTGCAAGCGTTGCCCGGCTTTGCAGAATAGTCCTGTGCCTGCAACCCTGTAACCCGATAAGATAGCATGTGACTGCCACATGTAGCTCAGGATACGGGACTTGAGTGACAAATCGATTTCCGTTGCTGCCGGCCTAGCTCATTGCGGACTGGAGAACCAAGAAAGCTTGATCACTCAATTGGGCCGGATTTCCACCGATTGTGGCCGAATCCGCGACGAGTGCTTTGTCTGCACATCTGAGCAGGTTGTAAAAAGTAATACCCCCCGTTATAATTATCTGAAATCCAGTATAATGCACAGAACCCGAAACTCGACCCCAAACGCTACAAGCCTTATTCTGTAGTAGACATTCCACATTCCAAACACGATCTCCTATAGTACACACCAGAACTCCTGCCCTCTAAACTTTGAGCCCAGACTCGTTCGAAACCCTGTGGCCTCATGCACTCAAACCCAACAGAGAACTCAGAGAACCGAACATACCGTACCGCCATCCCAGGATCCAGGGCATGGTCATCGCAGCCAAGCCGCTTTCGGAGTGCATTGAGGCCATGAATGCAGTCAAGGCGGACCCCCTGAAGGATCGATTTAGTTTGAAACTTGATTAGGTTTGATTCAGACTACTCAATGTAGGGCCGGCAGGACTATCAACGACAAGTTCTGGACGCCGAAGGGATTTACCAGGGACAGGAACGTCGCCCCTGGGCTTAACTGGTCTTGGTGTGTTCAATCAGCATACATCTTACAAATTAATGCGATAAGATTCAAGACTTAGGCAAAGCGGCCGAGAAGAGAAAGCGTGAGAAAGCCGAGAAGGAAAAGAAAGAAAAGGAGAATAAAGAAGGCCAGGAAAATGATGAGGAATACGCAGAGGAGCAGGAGACTTGGGGAGATGAGAATGAGGAACACTGGCCCGAGGAAAGTTACGAAGAGGCTCCGGCAAAGCGTGCCCGCAGCTAGATGCGTGTTGCTTGAAATGGGGGCCGGGTGGCTTGTAGTGCAAGCACATGCAGCTCTCGATGCGGTAGTATCAATGGTTGGGAAGCACAATTATTGGGCCATATCCATAAAGGGCATTTGCTGCTCAGTCGTGTGCTGCTGTGCCTAGTGCATTCAAGCCTGATGTGTTTTGACCCTGAGCATAAGAACTGCTTGGGTTTCTGTGGGGATCATTCCGAAGACGAGCGCAAAAGCTGCATGGCCCCAGCCTGCCAGTTCGATCGTCACTGTTTGCGCGCAGATTGCAGCTTGTCGTTGATGCTGAGCTGGATGCTTCATCCGATATGCCTGAGCTTGATTCTTGAAGTACCGTTGTTATCCAAGCCCCGGCATAAAGCACGCAAGTCGTATATTTGGGATGCAAATTCAGATACCGATGCTATTAGTTTCTAACCTACCTTATTATAAGCCCCGAACTTAAGATCTGAACCTGAGACCAATCTGCAAGTCCTATGCATAGCTTGAACCCTACAGTAATACTCGAGGGTACATAGCCCGAGCCCTGAACCCCGTGCACAAAGGGACCTCAGGTGTCACAATGGCTGCAAGCCGCCATTCGATCTACTGTAATAATGAACCGCAAGTCGTATCTTGGTGCTAGATCATATCCACTCACCAGCTTTCGTGTTTCTTATAGTCAGTGAACTAGCTCGCGATGGTTTCAATGCATGTCTTTGTATTTCGCGATGACTTCGGATGGCTTCAGATCCCAGCGCTGGTCCAGAATCTGGAAACTGGGCCGTCCAATATGTGCAGCAAACTTGTGATGCCATTTTGCGATTGCTTTCCAATGGCAAGGCCTGGTTCTGGACTGCTACTAGATTGAGTACCAGATCGATCCTCGTATAAGCCCAAATCGTCAGCCCACAATCAAGCTAATAATAGTTCCGGTTCATCATCATGTGAGTACTACTCATATAGGCCGGTACCCCAATTCCTAATCTTGAGTTCACCAACAAGCCAAAGCGCAAATCCTGTATATCCGAACATCGTATCCCAAGCCCCGAACCCTGCGACATGGAGTGCAGTCTTCAGCTGATGTGCACATTGATGGGCTTTTTCTTGGAACCCGAGATCAGGCCTCAACCCCGAGCTCCAAAACCATACACCATACCCTATACAGTTGTAAAGCCCTATATAGAAGCTGAACACAAAACCCTGAATGTATACGTTCATTATAATTGGGGTTTCAGAATCCGAAAACTCGTAAACTTCAGCCCCATAACTGATCAAAGCGCAAGCTTTAAAGCCTTAAACCCCAAACCCTGTCCGAGTTGCGAGAGCGTAAACCCTGTTGATGTAGCCAGCCTTAGATTCCTAGACGAAACCCATAATATTATAGTGGGAAAGCCCGACTAAAAACCCAAGCCCCAAATCCTAAACGACAAAGGACTAAATGCAGGAAACCAAAGCCCTTGTGTCTTCATTTGCTGCTAGCTTGGGGTTCGGGGTGTCAATATTCGGGGCTTATATAATTAGCTGGGGCCAACGTCCAGCCGAACATGCAAGCAGGTCCCTCTCGATGAATTGCCGGCAGCGCTGGAGCGGCTGCGAAAGATTCCTCAAGCAGTTGTGCCGAAGCTTGGGCAGAATATGTTGTGGTGTTGCTTGGACCGACAAACTACCATGTGTAATCCTGCTTTGTAATTGCCTGAGGCCGGATCTACTGAGCCTAGCCCATGGATTCATCAATCAGAATGGTTGGGGCCGAATGCGGGCCCTCGTTCGCTGGACCGACAAACAATGGTGGCGAAAGTTCCTGCCTCAACCCTTCATGAGACCCAGCTGCAAAGACTATACGTAGGATATGGCTGTGTATAGTACTTTATGATGTTCTATCTCTTGATCTGGGAGCTGCCGGCGACACAAGGCTGCAGCTGAAATCAGCTCCTTGACTCAAATATGCAATGCTTGATGAACCAAACCCTACGCTTCGATCAATTGCAGCATGAGTCTCATCCAAGGTCTACGAGGATGCCCATGGCCGAACGGAGCGCCTCATTAAACATCATGTGCTGTTGCCACATGAAATCATCGGTTCCCTCTACGACATGGGAAAGATCGATATGGTGACGGGGCCCGTTACTTGGTTCTAGCATATGTTTCATTGGGATTCTAGAAAGATCTGACCTATCCTGAAAATATCTCGGTTTATTGTGGGTGTGTATACATGACTCTTCCTATTCCTCCCTCGGGTCTCTCGATCTCTCCCTCTCCCTCTCTCTCTCGAGATCTCTCTTTTTAAATATTCTATTTAGAGATCCTTCATACGGTTCAAACCACTCGAAATTGGTGTCCAGCCGAGGAGCATGATTTGCTGCAGTACTGGCAAGAGCTATCCGGGACAAACTGGTTTCGGGAGCACCCGCTTCTCCAAGCCCCAAGACTGTAAAGCTACATTGCAAGGCTTAAACTCTTGTACTTTTGATCCCGAGGCTACTGATCCGAGATTTTGTATTCCTTTGAGGCTTTATGGGGATGGGGCAGAGTCCACGAGCCACATGGTCGAATTGGTCCACCTTTCATTCGATTGCATCAGACTATGCAAGAAATTGCTTAACTGCTGTCGGCCTGTTTCTTGCATCAGGACATCAATGCTTCGAATGTTTTGCGCTACTGGCTCCAATGGCTCCCTCGTCGACAATGCTGTCGCGGTTCTTGTGTCTTGGCTCGCCACACGTACTGCACGACGACACTTTAGTGTGTACAACTGTGCTTTCTGTACCTAGGATCAGTTGCATGAATATGCAATATCATTCTGGCGACTGCCGCCATGCCATACTTGAGTTGATCAAATGGTCTTTCGATTGCTTGGGCTGCTTAGCTGCAACGAATCACCTTATACGAGATAACTGCTGTCTTTGTATATCTTTACGCACGAAGGAAGTGGAAAATATCCGCACGAGGATCCGTGGGGCAATGCCTTTGGAAAACAGTATATGCCAGACCGCTTCAAGCTTGCGGGGCGTCGCATATGCGGGCCATATATTGGTATTTTCGATGCCGTGCAAGCGGATTTGGAGTTTGTAGTTATTTGCGTGGTATACACGTAAAGCAAGACACAACGTGCAATTCACTCTTTTTGTGTCTTGAGCCAAATGTGTCCATGGTCAACAACATGACTGTCCAGATACTGTACAAGAGGGCTTGAAAGACCTGTATTTCTTCAACTCCCCCCTTCTGGAAGTACATGTTGCGTCAACGTTTGAGGGTAAGTGTCAGAAGCAACAGCGTGTCAGGACAGTTCAGGGAACCTACGGGCCCTACTCAACGCCTCGACTCACCACGTGTGTGAGGAGTGCAAACACAAGTGGCACTGCTTACAGGTGGGGCATGCGGAACCCCGCATCTCTTAGCAACTGTTGGTCTGGGAAAGGCAGGTTGCTCCATCCGCGAGGAGTGTAAGCAACGAGCACAACCCTTTGCGCTAGGGATCCCTGCCAGGGGACAGTGCAGTGTTTGCGTGAGGGCTTGAACAAGGCTGGGAGGTGGAGGACGCGACCGGGAAGGTTGCAGTCGTACTGGGGGCACTGCGCCTCGCCAGCAGGATCTTCGATCCATATTCCTCCGCCGCTGACAACCTGCGTAATTGGAAGTACGAGGTTGTACGAGTCCGGCGCGTTCCACTTGTCGCTGTGAAGCTCGGTCTGTTGACCGCGGAACAAAGCTACTGCCGTGAACGTGTGGTTCCTACGCTGTTGCCTAACAAACCGGGTGAAGACACGGACTACTTCAGGGAAGAGACGGGTGTTACTTCTGATTCCGACTATGCCGCTGCCATGCGCATAAGCGCCAACTGAGAAGCAGTGCGTTTCAGTAGTTTCTGGACCTCTGCGCGCTCCGTCGTGAGGAAGGAGCGTCAGCAAATGCAGAATGTGCTGCTCTTCGACGCGGCGAGGAACTAAGCCTGCGGCCGCGCGAGGATCTGCTAACACAAGGGCATCAGATGAAAGATCTTGGGCTGAAGTTGCTAATGCCTTGTCAGTGGCAGGCAAAAGGCACAGCTGACTCAGAACTAGAGGCCATTCTTGAGGCGATATGACCTTCGTAAACCCGTTAGCCTTCTGAAGTTTGGTGCTGCAGTAAACAGCTTGGACGCGTTCTTCTGCAAGCCTTTCGCACACGGAGGCGACGTTAACACGATGAACCCGGTTCATGTGTCGAAGTTTCGCGCTATAACCTGCCTTGAGGATCGCGAGCACCGTTTCGTTATCTTGTTGGTAGGACACTGAAACTGCAGCATCAAGCAAAGACTCTAGGAATGTTTGCAAGTTCTCGGCCTCGGAGAACATCGCTGCAGCAAGCGCGATCATTTCGGCTTCCGTAGTGCTTCTGGCCGTTGATGATTGTTTCCTAGACAACCAATGGACAGGAAAGTAAGATTCACCGGTGCGCAGCATTATGATGATGCCGGACGTGCTTTTGGCACTGTACGGGCAAGATGCAAAATCTGCATCGGTAAACACTTCGATGTTGCAAGAGAGGTCAGTTTGCGAAACTGCTCCGCGCAACGTGAGGTGTGTCGTGTGATGGAGATATGAAATGCAGCGCATCAACTGGCGATCTTCAAATTTGGTCCATTTTGTTACCCTCGATGCTAATCGGGAGATTGCAAAAGACAGGTCAGGCCGAGCAAGGCGACTTAGCCACAGGCCCCGCATAAGAATGCGCGACGCAGCATGATGCAATTCACCTTCTGTCTCAAGATCAGCATCGGTGAGCTGGTTCTCCGGATAACAAGGAGACGGAAAGTTGCGTAGCTTGTCTTTGGTGACGCCGGCGACCTCGCAGTAGAAGTCGACAAGCTGTGCTGCGTACGAGCGCATATCAAACTCACAGGTCGATGGACTCGTGCCTTGCGGCGTTTCACGCAGAAAGCTGTGGTGTCTACCTAAGATACGACAACCCTTATCACCCGATTCTATGTAGACTTCTGGGTCGAGTTTTACCCTAGACCTTAGCTCGTGCCAGAACTGCTGGTGAAGTTCAGTTGGTCCGCTCAGAGTCAAGTCGTCTACATAGACATTGAGTATTAAGGTCTTTCCGTTCCAACGGACGATCCAGTTGGACGGGTACTCGGGGCATTCTACGCCTCCGAGTTGACGCAAGTGTTTCTCTAGGAACAGCTGCCACCTCCGTCCGGACTCTGGATGCCCGTATAACGATTTCTGCAGCTGAACTACGAGCTTGGTCCCTGCAGGGAACCTTTGGTGCCATGAAGGCAGCCAAAGCTCGGGTGGGATGATCACCCAGGTGCCATCGCCTATGGATGCCTGGAGGTAGGCTTGCACACAGTCTGAGCACGAGGTTGAGTTTCCAGGTCTGAGGCCGTACCACAGGGTGACTCCCAAACCGACCAAGCCGGTGGGCGTCGTTGCGGTGTCTTCAAAGTAAACCTGGTTCCCACTGGCGTCGGTGACGTAATCGCCTCTGTAGACGATCCGTCCTTTGTAGCGGTGGTGTTGTGGTCCGAGCTCAAAGTGTTTGATTCCGCACAATGTGAGCAGCTCCGCGACTTTTATTTTCTGACCAGATTCTTTGGATTCCTTCTTGAGCTGCCATAAAGGCCGAACAGAGTCGTCATCCCAGGTCTGGTTGCTGCGGAGGCCCTCGGCTTCCTTTTGTACCGAGTTAACGCCTTGTACATCTTTGAGCCATTCGCTTCTGCTCAGGTTCTTTGTGACAAGTGCGTTAGTTGCACACATTGCTGGGATACTGCTGTAGAACAGCTGTGGGTAGAGAGCTTCAATCAAAAGATTGGCACAGTGTGAGTTGTTAAGGCCGGTACTCAAGGTGACAGAGCAATCAGCAGTTTCGCGCTCGTGGTCTCCTGAGCTTTGGTGTTGGCCATACAACTGTAGCACTCTTAGTGACGTAGTGGAGATAGCCCAGTGTTCCTTGACGGGGTTCTCTTTTCCTCTTACGCCTAAAGAGCAACTGTGAAAGTACACCCTTCTTAAGTTGAACTTCTCTTCAAACTCTAGCCACGACTGTTCTTGCCAAAGCTGGTTGGTCGCAGGCCACTGAAAGCTTACATGACCCCCCTGCTCAATCATATGGGATGCTACTTGGAGAGCAAGACTGAGCATGGCACGTGTATGCTGCTGTCGCTTCTTAAGTCTGGCAGTGTACGCTGTACCGTGGCGGTGTTTGTTCATACGCTGCGAAGGACAAAAGTCCGCAGAAGGCAAGCTGAAATGACCGCAAGCTCCAGGCTTGAGCTGGCCAATAACTTGCTCAACGTGGGTTGGCTCAGCAAGGTCGAACGTGGACGTTGTGAGCCTCAAGCAGTCTACACGGTGGTTTGCTGCTGCAAGGCCGATTTCGCTGTCGTCTTTGCAGCAGTACTCAACGAGATGGTTCTTTCCGGGCAAAGCCTCAAACCTGCAGGAGCGGCGCAGTGAGTGGTCACGTTCTAGGAAGCTTTGGTCTGGCACTGTGCGGACAGTGGTAAGGTGGCCAAGTGCAGGCTCGGAGGCAGTCTGCGCTGTCGCTCCGACAACTGGCGCGGAACCGCCATCGTCAGATGGTTCGTAGTCGGAGAGGTGGTCGTTTGCGTCAGGTGCATGCGACACCGCACGCGGTTCAGCCGGGGGAAGGCCGTCGAGCAGCTTGTCTTCGACCCTCTCGAGAACGTCTTCGTAGGCAAGCTCTAACTCTGGTGCCTTCTCAGCCTCTCTCTCTACAGGGACTTTGTCCTTTACACGAGCACTTGCAATCTTGTCCGCGCGCACTAATCCGTCGAAACGAACTTTGCAAATGGGACTGTGAACTTTAGAATCAAAGCTACAAGCCCTGCATCCAGGTGTGGGGCCGTATTTGATGATTCTGTCAAGAGTGATATACTCGTGTCTTGTAGAGGGTTTAGCATCTACAGCTAAAGGCGAAAACGGTATCTCTAGACCAGCAACGTCTTCAAACTTAGGTTCTGCAAATCCTTCTAACGCTTTTTCAAAGGCAGCCCGCATTGGGAGCACAGGCTCGCCCTCAGGAACGTGGAGTTCTTCAAGTGGGACAGAGATTGGAAGGGACGCACCTGCTGAGTCGTCTTTGACACGCTTGTAGTCTAAGACGAGGTAAACACCCTTGTAGGACTCTGGTCCACTGTCAAGGCGCCAGCCGGCAAACAAGCCGGGAGCAGCAGAAGGATCGAACTTCCCTCTGTGAGATGGGTCAGTCCGATAGAAGACAAGTTGGCCAAGCAACAGGCGGCGACCGGGAAACTCAGAACCAACAGCAGCGACGTAGCGAGTGTGTTCAGCGTCTTTGAGCTTGTGCTTCAGGTTGAGCACGAAGGCGGCGTAGACGCAACTGTGAGGCCACAGACCGGGTCTGATTTGGAAACCAGACTGCAAGTGAACAGCACGCGCTACTTCCTGTAAGGTCCTAATATCCCTTTCTAGAACACTGTTATGCGGCCAGCGGTTTGCAAGGGTAGGTTCACTCACCCAGCCTAACTGTTGGCAGGCGGCTTCGAGTTCTCGTGCATTGTCACTCTTGAACATGATCATCGGCTTCTTCACGTGTCGGCCAACGAACTGTAGCAAGCCCTTTACAACGTTTTCTGTGTTCCGTTGGGTGAGAGGGAAAGCTCGTAAGTAACCAGAAAACTCGTCCCTTACCACAAGTACCGTGGATTCCGCAGCAACGCTGGAGTGACCTCCAGCTTCACTGCCGTCCTTTGGCTTCGGCTTAGTTTTGACGACGATTATCACATCCGCGGCTACACGCTCCCCAAACTCTTCTACTTCAGGAAGGGCCCCGCGGTCAACCAAAGGATCACGCCTAAGTTTCTCGACCTTTTTGCGGTACATTCGGGATTGTGAACAGATGTGACAAGCTGGGTTCTTGGGGAAGTGGCACAGGCGATGTTCCAAGGATGCAGCTTCACGCACGAGGCGTACGTCTTTGGAGAGGGGTTCTTCTCCGTCATCAGAGTCTCCTTGTGCTGCGTCATCTTTTGAAGGCTCGGCGCGCGCAGATCCTTCATTAAGGACTCGACTGGGAGGCTCAGCAGAGCCCTCGCCAGGAGGTAGCAGCGGGGACGATGGTGACGGGGACCTGTCAGTTGTGGAGTGCGCGGCAACGGCGAAAGACACTTGTTCTTTGAAAACAGGCACATTTCCCTCAACACGATCGGCGAACAGGGCCCCACTAAGGTCTGCTTGCACGTGGTTGCTGGATTTGAGAAAGCAGGGCAATTGACCAGGAAGCCAAAGGAAAGGCAGCTGGCCACCGTTTACTATCTCACCCATTGACCTTACGACGGGACAATCGTTCATGAGGTATGCCGTGTTCTGTCCAAAGTCTTGGCCCTCACAGGTCAAGACTTCGTGAGAAGTGACAACGCCATTACCGGTGGAGAAGTGAATCGGCTGTTCGGCCTGAAAGGCTTGCAAGCCTATATCAGGTGGGATTCCTTGGCGCTGGAGCGCCTTGAGAGATGTCAAGTTGCGACCGGCTCCCGAATCAGCGATCCACTCGAGCTGAAAAGGACCTGTCTGGTATCCTGGCAAAGCTACGTCTGTAACCCTTGGCAGGACAGCTGGTAAGGCATGGCTACAGACAGAGAGCCAACCGACAACGGTGCGGAACAAGTAACTCAGTCCCGATCTTTTCCAAAAGTTTGTCGTACTCGGCGTGGAACGTCCATCGACCGAGATACCCTGAGCCGTAGTGGGAAGCATCAGGGCGACAGCCGCGGCAGAGCTCTTTGCCGTGGCAGCTGCTCCATTGGCCTTTGGCGCATTGGATTTTCCGGGAGCTGTCTCATGTGAGAATGGACAATTTGCACCTCGGTTGCAGGTTCCTTTCGGAAAGAAAAGGCATGGCGCTTTGGGTGGATTCTCCTTTGGCGGAGCTTTGCTCTCGGCCTTTGCACCTTTGCCTTCACCCTTTGCCTTTGACTTCTTGGGCGGCTTCTTTGGCTGATCGCCTTTGGCGTCACCTTTACCTTTACCCTTGTCCTTATCGCCCTTACCCTTCTGCTCCCGATCTTTTCCACCCTTTCCAATACCTTTGGGACCGGTGGGAGGAGCAGGAGCGGCAGGCGTTGGAGATGCTGGTGTAGCTTTCTGCTGCTCTCCTTTCTTCGGTACCGATGGGCTTTTGGTCCCGGGCCGCAACAATGCATCCCTGATTGATTCCTCGTTGGCCTCTTCCCGGAGCTCGTCAAGGAGCTCAACAAGTTGAGTCCACAACCAGTTGAAAGTGCGCTTGTTGCTTGATGGACTTGAATCTTTGATTTTGTCAATGGCCCTGGAAAGCAAACGGCAATGTTTCAGTTTCGCGTATAACCATGAGAACATGGTATTCTCGGCAGGCCAAGCGTCTGGGCTGAAGCCATTCAAACAGAACTCGACACGTTCACGGAATGTCTGAAGATGTTGTTGGCTAAAACCCTCGAGCTGAATCGCAAGGAAAGTCTGTTGTGAGACCGTTGCCCCCCTGATTCTATCAACTCGGAATCGCTTGCTCAACATCGCAAGAAGGACTCGCCCTGAAGGTAAAGCCCCAAGCGCATGAGCCCTTTCAACGAATGACTGAGCGGTGACCCCGAACTCCCCTTTGAGGTGTTTCGGGTCAGTGACCTGAGCTGCAAGGTACGCGTCCAACCGGGGCAACCCATCTGAGTCAGTCTGCATCTTAGCCATCGCCCGATCGGTGATGTTGGGATCAAGTGCAGCCTGCAACCACCTGAGGATGCGTGCCTCGCCCGACTTATCTATACTTCCGAACTGCGTTAACACCCCGTTTTTCCACGATCTAAAACCAGCGGCTGACACTGGTAGAGTGGGGAGTCTCAGTTCGCGAAGATCCTTGATGTGGTACGTTGAACCCTCGTAATCTTCATCATCGGGATTAATTACGGGATCATGCTCAATGTCATCTTCCTCTTCCCCTTCTTCATGTTCCGAACCAATGTCAAACATTTCTGGTGGCGCGGGAGGATGCCTACCGGGAGGGGGCTTAGGCGTAGAGAACAATTGATGCTTCGGTGATCCCTTCTTCGGCGATGGTGGCGAAGGAAGTCCAACCCCAGTGAATACAGGCAACCGCGGAGCACAACTATACCCATAAGAGTTAGGTGCAGAGGCCGTAACGGTACCAGTGAACATGTTCACATGAGGCTTTGCTGATTGTTTCGGCTTGGTTTTGGGCTTCTTCTTGGCTTTTGGACTAACAATCTCCTTAAGCTCTCGCATGGTTTCCCCAACACTCGATGCCAGCGCCTTCAAAGCTTCACCAATGTCCGTGCCATTATGGTCTGAAACCGGTGGTGCCTGTGAAGCCGTTGCGGGTGGCGGCCTGGCTTGGGCTTGAAGCTCTGAAAGCCTTTGCAATAGCTCATTCTGTTGTTGTTCCAGCTGCTGATTACGGGCTCTGAGCTCGGCAATGGTTTGTTGAGCCTCCTGGGATATCATGAGTACCTGTCTTTCGGCCTCATCCCGAAGCTTATTGCTATACTCAAAAGCCTGTTGTCTGGCATCCTGTTGTGCCGAACTTACTGCACTTTGTGCTTCAATCGCGACACCCTGAACCAATGCTTGCGCTTGATGTTGGATGCTCTGAGCCTGCATGTGTGCCAACTGTGCGGATGCAATGGCCTGAGAGTGGGCCTTGGGGTCAACCCCATGCAAATGCACTTCCTGTCGAACCTGCTGGTTATGCTGGTGTAAGTGCACATCCGGGGTGGAGTGTCCATCGCCCGGTGCGAACGAAACCGGAATCCCAACAGGTCTAGAAACCTCGCATGCATAAGCAGGCGGTGGAATCAACGCTAAAGCTTCGGCTTTCGCTTTGCTTGATGGGGAAGAAGCTCGATTTCGGCGTGATGTGTTACCGGGGGTAACGGGGTAAGGACTTGGGCCACGCCGGTTTCCGGCGCTCAATGCTCGCCTAGGCCTTGGTGAAGACTCACTATCGTCACCAATCGAAACCCCACCAACCGGCACAACCGACATCGCGGGTACTTGATGCCCGCTGCTCGATGAAATCTGAAGTGAGTCAGCGGATCCCTGTTCGGGGGAGGTGTTGTCTGGAGAGGACGCCATGGTGCCACAGAATCGGGGCATCCAGGATACCCCCGAACACCCTGAACAAGAAAAGGGAAGTGGCAACTACCTCAAAACACCTTTTTACAGTTCCATCAACCACTGAGTGATGGAGGGCAGCAGTGATGACAGAGCTTGGCCAGCAGGCAAGTGAAAGCCAACAAACCCACGGTCGCGCACCTCGCGGAGGATGTCTGTACGATCATCTACCATACCAATGGAACTCCGCGGGATGCCTCTGTCCCTGCTATACCACTCCAATGCCTCTGCCTTCCCGCCGCGGCCCAATGGACGTCTGCAGATAAAAGACTCAAGCTGGGGTAGCTCACGCCGCAAAGACTCTTGAGTTTGCAATCCGCGTGCATACCCGGAATAAGTCAAGCAGATCGCCTCCAACGACAGGCCTGGTGGGAGGTTCCCCTGAAGCTCAGCCAACAGGTATCGAGCATCGGCAAAGGAAACGTCGAGCACACCGTGAAAGTCAAACGCAAGAAACGCCGGCGTAATCACAGGTGCATCGGTCGTCGCGGTCTCAGGTCCATCAAACGCCGACTCAGGTCCATTAACAGTTGGCTCATCCGGCACAACAACAACGGAGGGCGAAGAGACTGAAACACGCGGGCCAATAGACGCAGCAGCAGAAGAAGCCTGTAGGGACCGTTGTTCTTCCCGGGCGTTGTATTCTTCCCACTGCTCTACTGTCCAATCACAAACCTCACCCGATTTGACATCCCGATGTGTTTTGGAACTCAACTGAAACGATTCTGCTAAAGTTGGGTATTCTGCGTCCCAGTCCTGGCTCGGACGTGCTTTGGGCCTAGGCTTTGACTTGGCCACAATGTAGCGGGATCCACCTGAAGCTTTAGGTGGAACAGGAGTTCTAACACCCTGATACTTTGGTCGAGGTTCTGGAGGTGTGGGGGTTATTACTAACCCCTCAGCCAAGGCTCGAGGCGGAGATCGAGATCGCACAGGGCCAGCAGGGGGAGTCGAAGGTTCAGGAACAGAAGAGAGGTGCGTTGGGCCAACAGGAGGATGCGATGAAGAGCGCGCTGACGACACAGGTTCGACCGGGGCATTAAAAGATGCAGGATCGGACGTGTCTCCAAATAGCGGCTCGAGTTCCATCAAAAGGGAGTCAACCAGATTACGATGTCGACCCAGCTCAGTGGCTCCCTCAAATTCTCTCTCCCTGACTCTCAAGAGAGAGTGAGCCGCTTCTGGACCGGAACCAAGGGCCACGAGCACCGTCAAAAATCCTCGGACGACCGCCAATGCAATGACTCTCCTTCTGCGTCCGTCCGACGAGCGGCCAGGTGCAATATCTGGTCCTCGGGAGAAAGTACGCTCGACCCTGGAAGTCCAATCTTCCTCTGCCGCCACACGCTGGATACTCTCAGAGAATCGCTGGAACATGCCAAAGCCGGACAAGGGTGGCTAACCCGAAGGCCTGATACGGGTGGCTAGCCCTCGAATGCGAAGTTAGCGCCGAGACAAGGCTGGCGAGGCCGAGTAAAATCACCCAATGTTCCCAGAATCAAACCCCGTAAGCCAAGGCAATGGTGGCAAGCCTATGCACCAAAAAAGGTTGGGGAATGCGCAATGCCTGAGCTGGACTTCAGTCTAAGCCGGGATTGACGATTAAGATGGGATTGGGGTCTCGGTGATGGTCAATGGGAAAGAAAACGCAGTAATTAGGCAGTCGACCGGCTGATCTGAGCCGCACAGAGCAAGGAGTGTGGCGTACCAACGACCCCCGAAAGCCCTGAAACAGGATGGTTGATGCAGCACGTGGAACGTCCAACGGTGCTGATGTTCTGTTTGCAGTTGGGGTGCACGGGAGTCAACCGCTAAGGAACTCAACCGAACAACCCTACAAAGACAACCCTACACAACGACCGAATAAGCCCGCCCCTCGTACTAGGCACTTGCCAAGAGGTTAGGGGTGGTCGTTTGTCAAAAGGGTAGTCTGGGTTTCACCAAGCGTACCTCGGAGCAATCAGCGGCAGCAGGCGCGTCAAAAGCCTGTCAAGGGTAATACCTAGGCAACCCGAAGCTCAACGCGTCGTCTGCGTATCGCAATTGTTGAAGTCTGTGGATCCGAGTTAGTTGGCAAATCAAAGAGCTTATGCGGTACCACGAATCAATGGCACCTACAACAAGCCTTCTCCAATGGTTTGTTGGCTGTTCAATCCACAAGCGTGTCCTGCGCTTCTCGCGCAATGCTTTGACGAACTGAACCCAAATATGAAGATACGTTATGCTAATCCCTTTCGGTCACGTGGAAATCCAACGGTGACCTGCGCAGGTATGAAAAGGTGATGAGCCTGGCTCTGGCTCGTTTCAGTGCAATGATCTACTCTCTACCAAGGACGGGAGAGTGATGATATGAAATATGGAGGGGCACAATGGCGGCGAGAGGATCTACCAATCAACCTACCAAAGTGTCCACGTAGCTGAGGCTGTTAACCAGTTATTTGCGTGGTATACACGTAAAGCAAGACACAACGTGCAATTCACTCTTTTTGTGTCTTGAGCCAAATGTGTCCATGGTCAACAACATGACTGTCCAGATACTGTACAAGAGGGCTTGAAAGACCTGTATTTCTTCAACTTTTGTGCGAAAGATATTTTACCTCAAACGTGCCTGTGACGCAATCATCGATACACTGTACCATACTTATTAATCATGAGTTGTTGTAGCCCAGGCGATTATTCGAGGAAGATGATGTGTCACTACTGCGAAGAGTCTTGAGCTGCAGTGATGTGTGCAGTACGTACAGGGATAAACGTACCGATTCTATAACAGCTTGCTAGCTCATCATGCCTTTGCTACCAGGCACTGTCCTGGACCTATGCCGCCGGAGATCCCTTTGCACCCAACAATCCGGAGCTACTGTACACTGCGTTCGGTCCTAGTGCAGCGCATAGAGGGACGTGTTTGGGCAGCAGTTATAACCTAATAGGGCTCAACATACTGAACTGGTTCGGGCCAATCCCTATTAGCGTTAAGTCGATTCCAAGGCTCATCCGGGGCCCAGCAGAATTCCGATCTGTCCACGGCTCATCACCTTTGACAGAAATTATCGGATTCAATCCGTGGCGCATTCTGTCCGCAATTACATAATTTATAATTGATCAGATGAACGTGCCAACCCTAAACCCTAACTGATTGAATCATCTGCAGGCATCCTACCGGACTGCATGCACCTCTTGCATTTAGCAATCTATCCAGATTGCATCCTGAGCTTACTGCTGGATCTGACCGATGCTTGGGGCCCTCGTCGCGAACAAGCTTTACAAGATTTGTGGGAAAACTATCGATGCTGGTGCGAATCAATGAGCAACCCGGATCTAATTATATTTAACGCTGTTTCAACGGCTTGAAACTTGGACCCGGATTTAAGGAGTGCCCGACCGGGCACGACGAAAGCTCTTTTCGTCAAAGGTGCTCCGACCCAACGGTCGTGAATATCGAACGATCAGCCAAAAGATCCTTAATGCTGCCGCAGCACGCTTCATGATCTTATGGCTCCGGCACTACATGTTGTCTCTCTTGGAGACTGAGCCTGCAAGTGAGTTCCTCCAGTGCCTGGGCTGATTAGTATTGCTATGTGTGCATTGTGTTGTGTGTTTGTGCGTGTGTGCTGAGGGAGAGTCAAACAAAGCATAGGAGGAAGCCATGTAAATCCCAAAACACCTCATATAACGATAAAGAATATATATATATATATATATAGATAGAAAACATATATATATATACAAGTATATACACTTGCGCCTTTTCTCATTGCTATATACTGTATTCATACTTAAAGGCCCGCTGGGCTTAGTAAAAAGTTATCTTGCTTAGTATTCGGTTGGTCGACTTAATAACTGACTTATCCCACTTAGCATAACTCCATTTAGCATAGATAGCTAAGTCAACTTATCGCTGCAGCTAAGTCATACTTACATAAGTCTGCTAAGTAAACTAAGTGGTTTCAGAGCTGATGGATTTGTGATATATAGACATGCAATTTCCAACCGTTTGCCTCCCAAAAGGGAACGTGTTATAGAGATATTTACACGAAGACCGCCATTGATTGCAGGGCTGCAAGCTCGCAGGCAGGTCTTTTTTTCTCATGGCAGCACCACGACAGCACTGTCGCCTTGCACACTGAAGGCACAAGTGGCATGGATATGCTTGGTTTCTACAAGGGCCACATCGTCCGACAGGGTGAACATGGCTCCATGCACGTGGTTCCAAAGAGTGACATGTGACCAGCATGTCCCATCTGCTTGGACGTGGTAGCCCACCCTGCCGACAAGCCTTTCACCATCCAGATGCAAAACCGCGAGGTCTTTTGCCGAAACTGTGAAGTTCCCTGCATGCACAGCCTGGTTTGCTGTCATGATCTCGCCCTGGATGTTCATGCATCGCCGGAGCTCGGCTTGGAGCTTGGCAGGGGCTGGTCGCACAGGCTGAACCAAGTGCACCCCTTCCTAAACTGCATACGACGAAACTGGAAAGAAAATGTTGTGAACCTTTTTATAACAACATCTATAGTGGTATATAGAAGAAATGAATGCATAATGCATACAAGCATCTCCTGGGAGAAAAGCCGGATCGGCGAGCTGCTGCAAATGCCCATGTAGCACATCATCGAGTATGCTCTTCTCAAAAGCCCGACTTGTGTCGAGTACTTGGTTGGTGATTTTCTTGATGATTTTGTGCTTTCTTTCGTGCACAAAGCAGCTCATCAGACCTGAGTGTTTGGCCAACTGAAGGGGCAAGTGGAGTGCCAAATGGCACTTGGGTACCCAAAAGGAGTCCTCACCGTAGCGGGTCTTAGCGAGGTCCAGATGGCCTTTCACCAAGACTTGCAGTTGGACTGCAGGGAAAGGATCTCCTATGGCGATTTTTTGCAAAGCATCGAGGACCTTGCACATCGCCAGCCAAACCTCGCATGAGTTTCTCATGTCCTCGCTGCATTGCGGCAGCACCCAGAGCACAAGATAGGTTCGCAGCACCTGCAGGAAGTTCAGAGCCTCCGATGCACTGCACTTGAGAGGATCACTGTAGGATCCTCTCTTTTGCAACACATCCTTCGGGGCAGCACCTCGCAGACGTGCAGGCCATGTGAAAGTCCTTGCGAACCGCTCAATGTCGTTGTGCTTCCAGCCATTGTGATGGAGGTCTCCAAGGAAAAGCCCTGTCAGCACATTGAACAGCCCTGAGACCAGGTAGACGTGCATCCAGTCGAACATAATGCAGTCTATCAGCTTGGGGCCATAGGCTGCATGGGCCAGTAAGCCCATGGGTTTAAAGTTAAAACCCAGGGCAGTCTGCAGCTTTTCGAACTTTGTCTTGGTCTGCAAGGGCTTCTGCTCAGCGAGGTAGTCCATATAGGCTTTGATGGACTCCTTCGTCTGGCGACGAAATCTGGAAATGTCGGTCTCCAGGCTGGATACTTGTGTGCCCCGACTGCTGGCAGCAACGTGCGACTTGTGGTCGACTGCATTCTGGCAGTGCACACAGAACACGAGTCCAGAAGCACCCTTGTTGCAGAGGGTTTGCTTTATAGCAGCTTCGTCGGAGATTAGTATGCCAAGATCGGCAAACAGAGGGGGAGAGCCGATGGGGCAGTTGACCAGTAGTCCCTTCCGCCAATCGGGGGTCTCGAAAAAAAACCTGGCCAGCTGGCGGAACAAAACCGCCATCCCCCCCATGTCTGCGACCACGGTGCTGCGAACCGCCGTCAAGGTAAACCAGCACGACTCGCAGGACATCGCATGGGCTCCCAGTTCTTGCAGGGACCAATAGATGACCTGGGCCTTGCGACGGTTCACGTGCTTCAGTTGATTGCCCGGTGCGATTTCGTCCGAATACCAAATCAGAGTCCAAGGCTTCTCGTAGGTCGGCGGCTTCAGTGCCATTTGCTTCTGCACGAGCTGGCCGAAGGCTGCACAGTGCTCGCATGCCCAAGCCAGCATTGCAGCTGGACTCAAAATCGGAATTGTAACATCGGTGCCGTCTTCCTTCTGAAGTGTGGGCTCGATGTAGATGGGCCCATAAGGGGTAGCATGATCATGCAGCAGTTCTTCACGAGCTCTTTTCACCGAGCTCCGGCCTGTAGCTGCAGGTAGCTCATCCAGCTCACGAATCTCCTTCAGGATCTGAGCGAGGGCTCTTTGGGTGGTGAAAACTTTCCTTCCCAATTGCGACAACGGGTTGGCCGATTTGGATCCCGACGATTGGGAAGCCATGTGGTCTGCTTGCGAGCTTTACACAGCCCTGCAAAAGCGACCAAAGTTGTTTCAGGACTCTCTGATATGTGCATGTTCTGGATAAACCCCATGGCAGTGTGCTTGCATATATGTGTGTATATAATATATGTACACATATATATATGTGTGTGTATACACGAAACCCA